ACTGGAGAGGATTTCGGCCACTGCAAGCAAGAAAGTCCTCAGACGTCTGTCCAGATGTGAAAAGATGAGGAAAGTCAAGGTCTAGAAGGCCCCAGGCAATGCTGCATGAGGGACTGGAAGGTGACAAACATGCGTCTAACTCCATCGCTATCCAGAATGTCATGAGGAGAACATATCGAGTCCTGTTTCAGGGGAATGGGAATGTGAACAGGCAGAATAAAGAATTGGCAGATGGATTGGAGGAAAGGAAGTACAAATATCGTAGTAGATATGGAATAGTCAAGAAAAAAAAGAAAAAAAAAAGTTGAGTAGAGAAGGTACAGAATAAGTAGATGGGTTAAAGACTAGGCAGATCTGATAAGAAACGAAATAATTTAAGGAAGAAAAAAAAGCATATGTATAAATGGATGAACAATGGGAACAAGAAGAAAATGAACATATTAGAAAAGCTAGGTAGATCTAATAAAGGTGATGAGGAGAAAGGTGGGTAGTACGTTGGAGGAGACAAAAATGGTGGAATGGGACTAAGACAAAGAATGAGCAGATAGAGTGGTGAATGAAAGTAACTCAACCGATGGATACCCAAAGGACAAGTATCCTAGTAAAGAGAGCAGAAAGGTCTAGAAGGAAGAATTGAAGAGATGAAAGGGTGAAAAAGTTGGGTAGAGTAGGTGAAAGGAGAAAAGAAAGGCAAATAGAAGCAGAGGAAGGACAGATTTACTTGGTAACGAAAGATAGCCATGTGAGAAAGGATAATAAGGTGGAGCAAAGGAAGACATATAAGATGGGTAAGTGTGTATGACTGACAGTAAAATACCCCCATGAGTTTTATTTAACCAATCTGCAAGCCAGAAATCAGTCATTAAACCAACTATCACACTAGGATCATATGGAGGGAGAACACAGTAATACAGACAGAAGATAAGTAACAGGAACTGTAAACGTTGCCTTAGGGCTTATAGTACGATGATGCACTGCTAGCAGCCAGGAAGTACTCTAGACGCGTGGCATAGCTTGTTGTAAGAATACATATCGGGAATCAGTTATCTGTCCTTAATGCATGTGGACAGGCCCGGACTGGCCATCGGGCATACTGGGCAAATGCCCGGTGGGCCGCGATGGCCGTGGGGCCGGCAGGGGATCTCCCCGGCCGGCCTCTGCAGGGCCAGCGCTATCCGAGCGCCGGCCCTGCTATGTGTCTCCGTGGGCCGGTGGGGAGATCAAAGATCTCCCTCACCGGCCCACAGACAGGGAGATGCGGCCGCCGGCTGGGAGAGGGAGGGAGGCAGGGAGGAGAGGACCGGCGGAGCTCTAACAAGCAGCTCCACCGGGTCCTCTCGCGGGATTCTGAGCGTTGCCGCGGTTACCGCGGCAACGCTCAGATCTCGCGAGAGTGAACTCTAACCTGCACTCTCACCACTGGACCACCATGGAAGGCAGCATGGCTCCCCCTCAAGGCACCCCTGGCAAAACGGATTCCAGGATAAAGGTAAGAAGGGAGGGGGGGGGGGATATATATATATTATTTTTTTTTATTTATTTATTAATAAAATAAATATTTAAATTTAAATAAAAAATACATTCACACTCTCACACACACAGCACCCCCATACACAGCACCCCCAGACAAACACAGCACCCAGACACACACAGCACCCCCCAGACACACACAGCACCCCCCAGACACACACAGCACCCAGACACAGCACCCCCCGACACACACAGCACCCAGACACACAGCACCCCCAGACACACAGCACCCCAGACACACACACACAGCACCCCCAAACACACACAGTACCCCCAGACACATCACCCCCCAGACACACACAGTAACCCCCAGACACACACAGCACCCCCAGACAGACAGCACCCCCAGACAGACAGCACCCCCAGACACACAGCACCCCCCAGACACACAGCACCCCCAGACACACAGCACCCCCAGACACACACACACAGTACCCCCAGACACACACAGCACCCCCCAGACACACACAGCAGCCCCCAGACACACACAGCAACCCCCAGACACACACAACACCCCCAGACACACACAGCACCCAGACACACACACAGCACCCAGACACACACAGCGCACCCAGACACACACAGCGCACACACAGCGCCCCCAGAGACACACAGCGCACCCAGACACACACAGCACCCCCAAACACACACAGCGCACCCCGACACACACACAGCACCCCCAGACACACACCCCAGACACACACACAGCACCCCGACACACACACCCAGACACACACAGCGCACCCCGACACTCACAGCACACCCCCAGACACACACAGCACCCCCAGACACAGCACCCAAACTCACACTGCACCCCCAGACACACACTGCACCCCTAGACACACACAGCACCCCCAGACAGACACAGCACCCACAGACACACACAGCACCCTCACTCACACACACAGCACACTCCCACACATATACAGCACACACATTTATATATAAAATAACCCTCAGTGAGTTAACAGACAAAGAAAATTAGAAACCTAGAATGTGACAGCAGATACAAACACCCTCACACACAGCACCCCTCTCACATACACACACTGCGCCCCTCACACATACACTAATTACAAATATATATATATATATATATATACATACACACACACACTACAGCACCCCTCACACTGCACCACTACACACATTACGCTCCAGATACACACTAGATCCCTTAACCTATATGCACTCTTAATCCTCTACACACACACATGCACACACACACACTGGGTCCTTTACACAGTAGATCTCCTACATACACACACTACATTCCTTGTCAGCAAACACATATAACATTCTCTAAACACACCCTCTCTGCAACCCCTACACACACTACGTCACCTATACACACACACTTCAGCCCGTATGCACACACTCGCTGCATCCCCTATAAAACTATGCCCCCTATACACACACTCTCTACAGCCCCTAGCCACACATATTACACCACAAACACAAATTAAATTGACCTATTTATACCACACCACACTCTACACACACGCAATCCCACAAGCAGGCTCCAAACATATGCACCATGCACTTTCCTGGCCCTTTTGTCCTCTGGTATCTCACTTGTGGAGACACCAGAGACAATTTAAAAGCAAACACAGCGCAAGCATGTTATTAAATTTGCTTGCGCTGCGCAGAATAAATTCAGGGCCTTTTAATAATGCCAGAGCACTTCAGCAGGGCTCTGGGCATTGAACCAACATGCTCACTTTGAGAGGGGGCGTGTTGACATTAGTGATGACAAAACACACACTCTCTGGCCCCGCCCCCTTCTTAGGGGGCCGCTCTGATTGAAAAATGCCCGGGCCTAATTTTTTTCCCAGTCTGGCCCTGCCACCCAGTAACTCCACAGTTTGTCTGATAGTCTATCCAGCCGAACCAACAGATGAAACACATAGGGAACCGTGCAACAAACGAAGAGAATCATAAAACATATGGACAATAGTCATATTTGTGCACAATCTCCAGTTTTATCATAGGGCACAAATAGTGGTTTTCAAATGCCATAGTCATGTGGCAGGAGGCTGGCAATCAGTCCTCTCCAATGCCCAGTGGCAAATGGCAGTTTTCACACCTAGTATAAAATAAATAAATCCCAGGCACTCACTGTGATAGATTTAAACATGTTTATTGGACACCTCAACGTTTTGACCTGTACCCAGGTCCCCAGTGTCCCCTATATATTACAGTATCCCTGATGTATCACAGTGTCTCAGTGCCCCATGTCTCCCAGTGTCCCCTCATGTCTCAAAGTCACCCAGTGTCCCCATTTCTCCATGTCTCCCAGTGTCCCCAAGAGTCTCAGTGTCCCCAAGTCTCCCAGTGTTCCCTAGTATCTCAGTGTCCCCATGTCTCCCAGGGTCCCAATGTATTTCAAGGTCCCCTAGTGTCCTAGTGACATGGGGACACTGGGAGACATGGGGACACAGACACTAAGGGACTGGGAGACATGGGGACACAGACATGTGTATGCTCGCCCCTTTCGGCAGTTCTGGTTATGTGATTTGTATCAGTGGCCCACCCTTTTACCCCATCCATAGACTTCCTGCTTTACTGGGCACTGCTGTTAGGGGGTATGGGTTTACTTGAAAGATGAAAGCATGAGATTAGCATAGGGTATGTGTTTTCTCATAGCTGCATCCTATGAGTTTTTCTCCAGCACCATCTCCATCAGATACATGACGCTTTGGAGGTAGGACTGTTTTAGTGTTTTTTTGTCAATAAGATTTTGCAATTAGGCCCATCATAATTGTCAGCACCAGGCCCACTGGGCTCTTAATCTGGCCCTGATGAGTAGCTATGGATGTGTCAACAGTCCAGATAACTTTTGCTTCATTTGTGGTGAATTGGAGATCAAGAAATATCAATGTAATTCCTTGTTTTCCCTCCAGAAATTTGTACCATGTAGTTTAAAAGGAAACTAGGTGATCAAGACAAATCATGGGCTCATTCTTGCGCTAAAAGAATGACTACATGTCCTGTAAGGTTCTTCAACTTGCATTACTATCTAGATAGACCACAATAGTCAGTCCTACATGGGCAAAGCTAAAGGATTGACAGATAGACAAGCTTATTGGTCTCTTTTCTTGTGCAGATTCAATTTTGTCTTAACCTACAGGCAGTAAGTAAACACGAAAGCGATGCTCTGTCTCGCCAATTTGAACTTCAAGTATCTTCTGAACCAGATCTGTCCGCTGTTTTTCCGAGGCATTGAATTATATCTGCAAATAATGCTAAGATTCATTATGACTGTAAAAATGTAGATGAATGGATGTTCATGTAGAATCTTCTTAATTTCTTCTTATCTTCAGTTGATTGATATATATATATACGTCTTTTGTATATATAGTCTTGGGCCAAATGCTCGCCACAATAATATATGTCTATATTATTGAAAAGTAGTAATACGCAATCTGACTTACGGTTTCTTCAGGTTTATTCTTAGTTACAGATACATAATAAAACATAATAAAGGATGTTACAGGATAGTGGACATTCAACAGCAGATGGTAATTGCTGGACTTCTGATGGGAGAGTTACATCGTTGTACAGAGCCAAGAGCCAAGCCAAGACTGAGAGACCTCGTGTCCCTCTGTTACTATATAGATGTGCTAATACTAACGTCATCATATAACTCTAGCCATATAAGGACAAACCCCCCACATCCACATTCCAGAGCTCTCGGACAAAGAAAGCCTTGTGACTTATTGATACCATCTGTTACTTATGCCAATCCACACATCCATATATATAATCAATAGAAACATAGAATATGCAATATTCTACAATGACCTTGCACAGTAATCACTTAAAAAACAAAATCAAGCACCAGAAGCACTTTCTGAAGGTAGACTATATATACCTCCCGAACACCAGGAAGAAACACTTACATATTACCAGTAAGGTTGCTGGTCACTCTGGTATACATAAAACCCATTCCCTCATTGTCACATGCTTTTGGTGGACTTCCTTAAGGCATAATGTTGAAGAATTTTGTGATGTCTTGTGAATGTTTGTGCCAGAACCAAAACATCTCATTCCTTACCTTGTGGTTTGTTACAACCTTTGGAAATACCTACCAAACCATGGGCTAGCATAGCCATTGATTTCATAGTCGATTTACCCATGTTGGATAAGAAAACCATTGTCTTGACTATAGTAGATCAGTTTTCTAAAATGGCACACTTTGTACCTCTGTCCAAATAACCAATCACTTCTGAATTAGCAGACAAATTTGCTAGAAGAAGTATTACATGGTTTACCCTTAAAAATAGTGCCTGATAGAGGTACTCAATTCATGAACGTGTTTTTTTCTCAAATGGGTATTAAATTAAGTTTTTCTTCGACCTATCACCCACGGTCAAATGGTGCAGCAGAAAGACATTAGAACAATACCTATGTTGCTTTATTTCAGCACATGAAAACAATTTGGTTAGCTTGATTCCCTTGGTGGAATTCACACATAACAATGTTGTTTATGAATCAACTCAAAACAGTCCTCTCTTTCTGATCTATAGTTTTCATCATATCGTTTTCCCCTTGACATTCCCTTCACAGGGAATGCTGTTGGTGCATGAACACACTAAAAAACTATAGAAGACATGGGAACAAGCTCTACAAATTCTGTTTACAAAACCATTCCTTTAAAAGAAACACGCTGACAAATGTAGGCTTACAGCACCTGTTTATCAACCCAGTGATTAGGTGTGGATTAGTAGGGATGTGCATGGGCATAAAATTCGGTTCAGTTCGATATTCCGAAATTCGGCACTTCGAGACTTTGGGACTTCGGCACTTCGGTTCGGCACTTCCGAAATTCGGGACTTTGGCATTTAGGGTAAGTGTAGGGTTAGGGATAGGGTTGGGTTAGGAGTAGGGTTAGGGTTGGGTTAGGAGTAGGGTTAAGGTTAGGAGTAGGGTTAGGGTTGGGTTAGGGGTAGGGTTAGAAGTAGGATTAGGATTGGGTTAGGGTTAGGGTAGGGTTAGGAGTAGGGGTAGGGTTGGGTTAGGAGTAGGATTAGGAGTAGGGTTAGGGTACTCTACTCCTAACCCTAACCTACCCCTAACCCTACTCCCAACCCTAACCCTACTGCTAACCCTAACCCAACCCTACCCCTTACCCAACCCTAACCCAAACCCTACTCCTAGCCCAACCCTTACCCTAATCTTAACCCTACCCCTAACCCTAACCCTACCCCTAACCCCCTATCCCTAACCCTACCCATTTTGCCACTTTTCAGAAGTCCAAAGCACTTCTGCACTTCCAAAATTCGTCACTTCAGCAATTCAGTTCGGTTTGGCACTTCTGAATTTTGGCACTTCGGAAATTCGGCACTTTGGCAACTTGGTTCGGAATTCCGAAATTCGGCACTTTGGAAATTCGGCAATTCGGCACTTCAGCAATTCGGGAGCATCATATCTATAAGTTAGTAGTAGACACATTCGCTCACCTAGTACTAAATTATAAGATGAAACAATCCTGTGGCCTATATTACCTGCTGCTCTACCTATTTCTTTTTTTTTTAAACAAATATATTATTTTATTAACCATCATAACATATACAAATATACATCTTTCAAAAGGCCATATGATCTCATATACACATTGGACAGGTAAAAAATTTTTTTTAAAAAAATACACACTGCTTACAGGGGAATTGGGGGAAATAATCCTTAAACATTGACTCAGGAAAGAAAAAGTTACCACAGGGTCTGATTAAACAGAAAGATTGTTTATTTTCCTTATCCATTTTTCACACTCCAGATATTTATTAGAGGCTAATCCTTGAGATCTATATAGTATAGCTTCCATATTTAACTAATACACCACCTGTGAATTCAGATTATCTAATGTAAAAGTATTTAACGATTTCCAATTACGGGCAATAAGGATTTTCACAGCAATCATAAAGTGAGTATAAATAAATGCATCTTTGTTTAGCAGTTGATTAATATTCAGATGTAAAATAGCATTTTCTGGAACTCTAGGAACAGATTTAGCTAATAAAATCTCTAATTCTGCAAAAGCCTCTTTTCATTTATTTTTAATTCTCACACAGTCCCACAAATATGAATAAAAGTCCCGATCTGACGATTGCATCTCCAGCATAGTGGGGAAGCAGAGTTGTACATTTTGGCCAATCTGGTCGAGACCAGATCCCATATATTCATGACTTTGAATAGCATTTTATTTAGGTTCAGGCAGTAAATAATTTTACCGGTTTTGGAAAGAACTGAGCACCAGTCCTCTTATTACACGCTGGAATGATTTTAGGAGCATCCATTTTTAGTAAGGTTCTCATAGCTTTTGAGGCCACCTTGTCAATTGGCTCATTTATGAACAATGAATAAATGTCTTTCACGCCATCTGAGTTGTCAAAGAGAATTGTTTTTCAGTCTCATATACAAGAATATCTCTCTATTAGATAGTTGAAAGTCTTGAGCTATTTGAGGAAAATATTTAATTTTATTTAACTTCGTTAATTGATCGTTTTTTTGAAGCCACTTGTCTAAATTAAGATCTTGTACATAATATGGTATATATTTGAAAGTTTAATGTTAACCGGGAACTTATTTTCTATTCTACATATTAGTTTAATTTTTTTTCCACCCTATTTTCTGGCCATATTTACCCAGGGCTTATTACTCCCTTGCCATAAAAGGGCTCCTAAATCTTTAATTCGGCATGCCTCTCTCTCTATGACATACCAGCCTAGATCTTTAACACACACTAATTGGGTTCTATATAGGTGACATAATAGGTTAGCATGATATGTCCTCTCAATAATTGAAAACCCTAGAGCCCCAGTCCTAGCTTTCAGTGCCAATATTTTTTTTAATTAATTCTCAGTCTTTTTGCTTTCCAAAAAAAATTAGAAAAGGAGCTCTGAATCATATCCAGCCATGGTTTAAGTATTTTTAAAGGAAACATATGGAATAAGTAGGACCAGTTAGGTAGAATATAAGCATTAATCAAATTCATTCTCCCTCACCACAAAACTTCAATATTTCTACATTTTTTTAGCAATAGATTCATAGCTTGAAGTTGTTTAAAAACATTAATCTGCATTGCATTTGCTAAATCTCGTGTTAGATCTATACCTAAATACGTGAACGATTCCTTTGCCCATATGAAATCAAAATTATTTTTGATAGAGTTCTTGTTATCTCTACTTATATTGATATCCATAAGAATTGACTTATTGACATTAATTCTGTAATTAGAAACAGCGCTATATCCCTCTATCTCTTTCATCAGATTTTTTTGGGGAATTGACAGGGTCGGTTAGGGTCATCAACAGATCATCTGCATACAGGTATAATTTAAGATCTGTTTCATTGCTAGACCTTTAATGCCCTCATTCTGTCTTATATTGATAGCTAACATTTCCATTGTAATTATAGACAGAATTGGAGACAGCGGACATCCCTGTCTAGTCCCATTATGTAAAGTGAACCATTCAGAGCAAATGGTTGGTCCAATTGTTCTAGCCAAAGGGCAAGAATAAAGTGAAACCCGAATACCAAACTTTAAAAGTGACCTACTTAAAAAAGCCAACCGACCCTGTCAAAAGCCTTCTTGCCATCCACTGCCACCAGTACCAAGGGGATTTTTTTCATATTTGCGCAATCTATAATGTCTAAAATGTGTCTAGTATTATCTGTGGAGGTACGACTCGGCATAAATCCAGTTTGATCTTAATTTATAATAATATTTAGCGTTTTCTTCAGCCTATTAGCTAATATCGCTGAAATGTTTTTAACATCGCCATTTACCAGTGATATAGGTCTATAATTTTCTACTTTGGTCGGGTCTTTCCCTGTTTTTCAAATAAGCAAGATATTTGCTCTCAGCATTTCCTGAGGAAAGGAGCGTTTCGTAACAATTTTGTTAAATGTGTCTGCTAAGTGTACACTTAATGACTCCTAAAGGTCTTATAAAATAGGTTTGAAAACCCATCTGGGCCGAGTTTCTTTTGCTCTTTAATTTGGAATAGCTTCCTCCACTTCTTGTTTCGTTGTCGGTTGCTTTATATACTGTGTTTGATTCACTGAAATTGATGGAGTGGACATCTTATTTAAGTAGGTATCTATATCATAATTAGGCAAAAGCAAAAAATTTAATCTTTCATAGTATGAATTAAAGCATTGGCCTATTGCTTTGGGTGTCAAGTGTGTAGCATTATCAATTACTAGTCTAGTCATCTTATGTGATGCAATCTTGTCTCTCAATTTCTGCGACATCAATTTGTCAGCTCGGTTACCCTTACTATATGTCTTCGCTCTTAGCCTCTCCATTATTTTAGCATTTCGTTCTAGGATTTTTCTATTGATTTGATCCTGAATATTTTTTATAAATTGCAGATCAATTTTTGATGGAGAATCCTTATTTCTTCTGGAGGCCTTTTCTAAATCAGAATATAAAGTAGATAATTCAACTTTTTTGATGCTCTACCTATTTATAACACCTTCTTATGTCCCCTTTTTGAAGTACTTGACTTGTGATAGATTTAACAGACGGGTACTGCCTCCGTCGTCTATTCAGGTAGAGGACCAGGAGGATTATGAAGTACATTCTATTCTTGATTCCAGATATTCCCATGCCCATCTACAGTATTTGGGGATTGGAAGTGTTATAGTCCAGAGGAATTATATTGATTCCTCTGATGTTGAAGCTCCTTGTCTTGTTCTATCCTTCCATTCCCGTTTTCCTGCTCGCCCAGGTGCTTCCTGGCTTGTGGGTGGTTCTAGCGGGCCAAATTGGCAGGCAGCCTCTCTCCTCCCACAGCTCTCTTGTAATTCCTCCAGCACTATGGATGCCAGGTGCAGTGGCTCTGGGCCTTTTCATATTGTGTCACTGGCAACAGCTCCTCACATTTTGAGGGCGTTGCTAAACACATAATAAACCACATTATAAATAAGTTGTTTGGGCCTAGTTTTATGCCCTGTTTTGGTTATAATTATAGTCCCAATAGCATGTTAATATTATCTATACTGTCCATAGAAACATAGAATGTGACGGCAGATAAGAACCATTCGGCCCATCTAGTCTGCCCAATTTTCGAAATACTTTCATTAGTCCCTGGCCTTATCGTATATCTATCGGATAGCCTTATGCCTGTCCCACGCATGCTTATACTCCTTTACTGTGTTAACCTCTACCACTTCAGCGGGAAGGTTATACCATGCATCCACTACCCTCTCAGTACTTCCTGATATTATTTTTAAACCTTTGCCTCTCTAATTTAAGACTATGTCCTCTTGTTTTGGTCATTTTTCTTCTTTTTAAATATAGTCTCCGCCTTTACTGTGTTGATTCCCTTTATGTATTTAAATGTTTCTATCATATCCCCCCTGTCTCGTCTTTCCTCCAAGCTATACATGTTAAGATCCTTTAACCTTTCCTGGTAAGTTTTACCCTGAAATCCATGAACTATGTTGTTTTGACTTTGGCTTGTCCTTGACTATTCTTCTCTCTATAATTCTTGACCCAGCTTTTGTTTTCTTGCTTTCCCAATTTTCTGGTTCCCATTTACCTGGCTTACCTTTGACTATTCTATGTATAATACGTAAGGCTATGGACTGGTATATGTTATAGTGTATTCCAGGTTTACACACTCTCAGACCCATAACAGAAGACTGCTATTTTTTCTCTTGTAATGTTAAAGGCTATAACTCAAAAAATAAGAAAACCATTATCTTTCCAAATCTACCGTCAGCTACATGACCTGTTCCTCACAACCCACAAATTCCAGATCTGCTGCCACCGGAAACATTGGAAGATTTGCCTTGACTTCAGAGTGATACAAGAAGTCAAGATCCCCACTTGTTCACTCAATGGGAACTTAACGATTCAGTGAGAGATTCAAGATTACCCAAGCATTCAGCTGAACACTGGGCTCAAGATTACAAGAAAATCATTTATTTGCAGAACAATAGGTTTCATGGCGTAATTTTGCACTACTAATTTTATTCAGTCTCATAATCCAACAAAAAAAAAGTCAAAGCCGTTGTGAAAAAACTGTATGTGATGGATTAAATCTCAGATCCTTTTTCCATTTAGAATCCCAAATTCATACATAACCCAAATACATATGTAAACATTATATAGCTCCTATAAATTCAAAAGTCTGTGCATTTAGACTAAACATGTCTAGCTGATTTACTTACCCACAGACTGGACTTTGCACC